GGAAGACTGTGGTGTAACGCGAGTAGTCGTCAACCACCAGCAGGAAGTAGCGCTCGTGACCCTGCCCACGGACGCGGGCCGGGCCCCACACGTCCATGTGAAGCGTCTGCAGAGGAGCCTCTGTCGGGGGAAACTGGGAGGAGTGAGGGGCAGCCCGGAGCCGCCCCTCGACACAGGGGACACAGGAAGGTCCGGGTCCCGAAGGAAGGGGAGGGAGAGACCGGGGAAGACCAGAGACAAGGACACGGGAAGCCATGCCCCGAAGACGAGGCAAGGAGGGGTGGCCAAGACGGTGGTGCCACAGGAGGGTCTCCTGAGACAGGCGGCGACACGAGCAGGGGGCAGACTCAGGACCAGACCTGGACGCAGCAGCAAACACCTGACCCGACGCAGCTACCTGGCCAGACGCAGGGACAGGAGGAGACTCAGTGGTCAGGGTGTAGAGACTCGACCCCGGCCGACGCGAAAACGTGGCCAGGTGTCGGCCTGTGCGGGCGTCCGAGCAGTGGGTCACCCGCTGACTCGCAGGAGTAAACTGGTGAACCCCCGCATCCTGCAGGTCAGCACCACTCACCAAGTTCGTCGAGAACGAGGGGAGGTACAGACCAGACAAGGTGCCCGAGGGGGCAGCCGGACACGGGAGGACAGTGGAGAAGTGAGAGAGGACAGGACCCCCAGAGGGGTCAGCCAGGGAGACTGCAACCGGCCGGCCAAGCGGCGTGAGTGTGGTGCGGTCTCGAAAGAAGGAGCGAGAAGCCCCTGAGTCAAGCGTGAAGGTGAGGGAGGCCGAAGCCGACGCAGTACCTGAGAGCGCAGCCTCACCAGTACCTGAGAGTGCAGACGCACTGGCACCTAGAGCAGCAGCCGCAGAAGTACCTAGCGCAGCAGTACCAATGCCCGGGTCGGGCGGGAAACACCGGTAACAGTCACCCTCCTCACTAATAGTCACAGCATACATGGCAGCAAGGATAGCATCAAAGTCAAGATCAAAGATAGCTACGCCAGCCCTAGACAGCTCTCCCCAACGGGGAATCTCACTAGCCTCGGGGAACTGCTGACGCCAAGCGTCCGTCAGGCGGCCAAAGCAGCGCTGGGTGGGGTGGGCACCCCCACACTGCTCACCCGCGCGGTCGCCGGAACGAAGGACGTAGGTGCACGGACCAAAACCCCCACCCCGCTGACGCTGCGTGTACCACTCACGGAGCTGCTGGGGCGGGGGGATGTCCCGCGAACGCTGCTGCTGCTGCTGCTGCTGACGCTGGCCACCACCAGAGCCGCTACGCTGCGGGGCACCACCCCGACCAGCTCCACCCCCTCCGCCACCGCCGCCTCCACCTCCACCACCACCGCTGCCTCCGCTCCCACCGCTGCCGCCACCACCGCCTCCTCCTCCGCTGCTGCCACCGCCACCACCGCCCCCGCCACCACTCCCACCGCCACTCCCACTCCCTCCGCCGCCTCCACCGCCACCTCCACCGCCCCCTCCAGTTCCACCCGCGCCCTTGCCCCCCTTGCCCCTGCCAGGGCGGCGTCTCCCGCTAGGGGCAGACGCCGCGCAGACCGACTCAAGACCAAGCAGGTCGGCAGCAGCAGCAGAGGCAACAGAGGGCAGCAGGGGGGAAGGAGAACACCCCTCAAAGATGGGGGTGCGAGGGTCACCACGAGAGGCTCCTACAGCGACGATGCTCTTCTCCGCCGCCAGGAGGGACTTCTCGAGGAGATCGACAGTGAGAGTGGTGGGACAGACTGAGAGGAAGTGGTCCCTGACTACGTGAAGGGAGTCAGGGAGGCGTGTGACTATGTAATAGAGAGTGATGTACATGGGGGGGGGGTTCTTGGCGCAGAACTCAGCAGGAAGGGCGGCGCGGTAGCGAGTGTCACTAGTGCGGAGGTGCGTAATGAGGTCAGCGACAGTGGGAAAGGCAGCAAGGTCAGGAAAGAGGTACGGTAGCATGAGGCGGCTCAGGGCAGCAGTGGCAGGGGAAGAGTAGCGCGCAACTACAGCGTCGTACAAGGTCTGAGCACTCTTGTACTGACTAAAGTGCGCGCGCTCAGTGGTAGGCAGGTGGCGACGCACAGCAAGACGTGCAGCAGCATCGCGGGTGGCCCACTGAGAGCGAACAGTGGGGTCAGCATCAGCAGCAGGGGCAGGAGAGGCGCCAGAGGTGAGGTCAAAGAGGGAAAGACCGTCCGTCCTATCGCACTGTAAGAACAGCTGCAGGTCGTCGACCCAGACCTCAAAGTCAATGGCTCGACCCTCAGCGTCAAAAGCGAGGACACTAGGGGTAGCCATGACGACGACAGTGTAGCAGTGCAAGCAGTAGGGGAGGGGCACGCAGTAACAGTGGTGCTGTGCTCACCAGGCAGGGCAGGTCGGGCGGCTCGGCAGTAGGGCGGCCCGGCGGCTGGGCGGCTCGGCGGCTCGGCTGCTGGGCGGCTCGGCTCCCGGGCGGCTCGGCGGCAGGGCGGCTCGGCGGCAGGGCGGCTCGGCGGCTCGGCTCCCGGGCGACTCGGCGGCAGGGCCGCAACGTGAGGGCGGCGGGGCCGCGCAGGTGAGGGCGGCGGGGCCGCGTAGGCAAGGGCGGCGAGGCCGCGACGTGAGGGCGGCGGGGCCGCGACGTGAGGGCGGTGGGGCCGCGTAGGTGAGGGCGGCGCAACGGGCCGCTAGGGGCGACACGGAGGGTCGCTAAAAAAAAGAAAGCGCGCCTCGGGGCGCGCTTCGGTGGGCCCTAGAAACAGTCCCTAGGAGGGGACCTGCTCTGATTCCATGAGAAAAGGAGAAAGCGAATGGATGAACTATGAATGAAGTGAGTACATATAGGAAACCCTAATTGGGTTGTACCCCCTATGGGATACCCCACTATAGCCTACACAACAGCATAAGCTATATATATGTTCTGACACGACTACCTCGAGTCAAATTTTCACTACACGGTCACCTACAAAAAGGGGGCATCGAACATCGCCGACGCACTAACCCGGCCCACAGCCCAACTCCACGCCATACTACTCGCCCAGACCAGCCCACTACTGACGGGCCTATTTACCCACGGTTATAAGACTGACCCATTTTTCACAGGCGGAAATTCGCAGCAGTTTGTAGCGGCAAAGGGAGTCTATTACGTAAAAGCCGGCACCGATCGAATCTGGGTACCGGGCTACACGCTTCTAGGGGAATTACTGTTACAAGAGGCACACGACGGAGTCACCTCACGCCATTTCGGAGTAGAAAAAACACGGCAGCAGCTGCAACGGTATTATTACTGACCCGAAATGCTGACCGACGTGCAGCGACACGTGGCATCGTGTCCCACCTGCCAACTCATGAAATCATCACGAAAGCGACCGGCAGGGCAGTTGCAGCCGATACCACCCCCAGAGCGTGCTTGGCAGCAAGTGACGATGGACTTCCTCACGGGGTTACCGGCCGGAGCAAGTGGGAACGACGCGATCCTGGTCGTCGTCAATCAGCTGACAAAAATGGCACACTTCGCAGCCTGCAAAAAATCAATCACAGCCGAAGAAACGGCCCGCCTCTTCATCTCAACCATCGTTCGATTACACGGGATACCAGGAGCGATCATCAGCGACCGCGATACGAAATTTACTAGCAACTTCTGGCGGAACCTGTGGCAGCAGTTCGGCACGAGGCTGCAATTCAGTTTTTAGTACCACCCCGAAACCGACGGACAGACAGAACGGACAAATCAGACCATGGAACAGTTATTCCGAGCCACGTGCGACGACCCAACTACCTGGGAACAGCAACTTCCACTCATCGAATTCGCGTACAACAACTCGCCGTCCGCCACGACCCAACAGTCACCGTTTTACCTGAACTACGGACAAGACCCTACAGTACCCATGACCCCGAATCCTGACAACCCAGTACCACGTGCCCAACAATTCGCATAAATTTTACAGGCAGCACGAACCAGGGCAGCAGAGGCAATCAAAAAGGCCAATGTCATCGCTAAGCGCAACGCCGACCGCCACCGTAGACCCATCACTTACCAGCCCGACGACTTAGTTTTACTCGACACTCAAAACCTCCGCCTGCCCATAACTCCGAAACTCTGCCCCCGATATTGCGGGCCATTTCGCATCAGCCACATGATCACACCTGTCATCGCCCACCTCCTCCTCCCTGCTGACTGGTACGTCAGCCCGTCCTTCCACGTCAGCCTGCTTCGTCCCTACATTCCATCCACCAGCCAACTGGCCCGAAATTGCCCAGCCAGCATGACCCGACCATCAACAGAACCAGTCATCACGCCCGAGAAGATTCTAAGCCACCGAGTTCGTGACCCACGAGGAGCTCGAAGGGTCGAATTCCTGATCCGCTGGAGAGACCGCACGCCCACCGAGGACAATTGGGTTCCACTGGACAAAATTGAAAACCACCCCGTCCTCATCGAGTATCTGCGCAGCCAGAATTTCCGGGATATACACGCGCTCTCGTAAGAGAGGCCTCCTTAAGGGGGGGGGGGGGGGGGGGGGGGGGGGTAGTGTAAGGAAAATCTCTTTTCCTTACTTCGCGTCCCTACTCAGCGCGTACACCACTGTTCCCGCCAACTGCACCCCACAATAATCCGTTACCACTCGCGACATTCGCCTCGACCCCATTCCCGCCACTGTTCACGATGCGACCCAACCTCACGGTTCGGTTGGTAACACGCACTCCGGACCTCCGCCTCGACAGTCCCCAACCTCGGCACCAGGCCCGTCGCGCACCCCATTTTCCACATGTTACCGTTACCACCATAGCTTCGCTATATATTCTTCGCTCAATCCTTTCGCTCATTGTATTCTTGTCTCAATAGTGCAATCCTCGCTCGCTCACTCAATTGCACTCGTAACAGTTCCCTATGTGTATCCTCCGTGTTGCGTGTGTTCCCAATGTCCCCTATTGTGTGTTCCCCTTGCTAAACATGTAGTTAAATTGGCAGCTTGTTATTTTGAATTGTTAGCATTCACCATCAGTGCTTGTGCCTTATTTCCTAGCGTGCACACAGCTCAGGAACCCTGGCATGCCGCCCACAGCCAGTGAGGCATACTCCCAGCCCCTGCTGCACTCCCTCCTGTTCCCCCCACCCCTCCTGCACTCCCCCCCACTGCTGCGCTTCCCCCTCCCCCTCCCCCACTCCCTCTCTCTGCTGCACCTCCTCCGCCCCCTGCTCTGTGGCTGTAGCGGCGTGGGTAGGTAGAGAGGGGCTGCTGCTGCTGCTAGAGAGGGGCCGCCGCCGCCGCCGCCGCCGCCGCTGCCGCCGCCGCCGCCGCTGCTGCTGCTGCTGCTGCTGCTGCTGCTGCTGCTGCTGCTGCTGCTGCTGCTGCTGCTGCTGCTGCTGCTGCTGCTGCTGCTGCTGCTGCACCTGCACCTGTTGCTGTTGCTGCTGCTGCACCTGTTGCACCTGTTGCTGCTGCTGCCCCTGTTGCTGCTGCTGCCCCAGCTGCGGCTGCTGCTGCGGTGGGGTGGGGGCGGGGACAAGGAAGGGAGCAGTGACGTACATCTGCCCAGGGGGAGGCGGGGGGAGAGCCATGGCCATCCCAGGAGCGCCCATGAATGGCTGCATGTGAGCCATCTGGGGCACTTGGTTCATTTGACCTGCCTGACCCATCTGATGGGCCTGCGCTGCTTGCTGTGCCTGTGCCTGTGCCTGTGCCTGTGCCTGTGCCTGTGCCTGTGCCTGTGCCTGTGCCTGTGCCTGTGCCTGTGCCTGTGCATGCGCCATGTATTGCTGCATCTGCATCATCTGCTGCACCTGCCCCGCTTGCTGCGCCTGTGCTGCCTGCTGTCCCTGCGCTGATTGCTGTGCCCCGCCCTGCCCTTCCTGCCCCGCCTGTCCCTTGCCCTGTTGCTCCCCTTGACTTTGACCTGCTGAGCTGGCACTGACCTGGAATGGAAGCTGACCTGGCAGATAAGCTGCCATAATCATCTGCTGCTGCTGTGGCGGCGGCTGCTGCACAGAGCTTCCAGTGCTTTTGCCATCATTCCCAGGCGGGAATGAAGGCGGCGCAGTAGGAGGAAAGGCGTATGGAAAGGCGCCAGCAGGCACAGCGATCCAGCCCTGCATGCCTGCAGGTGCGGGGGGCACCGAGCCTGGCATGGAGGCTTGGAAGGGCATGGGAACAGGCGTGGGAAAGGCTCCAGGCGGCCAGGCTTGGGGGGGAAAGGAGTGTGGGGGCAGGGGGTGGGGTGGGTTAGGGAGAGTGGCTGGCGGCTGCAAGGGCTGTGCTGTTGGCGGTCGGGTTAGTGCCTCCTGTGACGCTGCTTGCTGCTGCGCCTGCTGCTGCTGCTGCTGCTGTTGCTGCTGCTGCTGCTGTTGCTGTTGCTGTTGTTGTTGTTGTTGCTGTTGCTGCTGCTGCTGTGGTTGTTGCTGCGGTGGCAGCTGCTGTGAATGTTGTTGTTGTTGCTGCTGCTGCTGTTGCTGCGAATGTGAGGCCCTGCTGTCAGCAGCGTTGGCGTCGCCCTCCTCTTGCTTCACCACCACGACAGCAGCCTCACCCCCTCCACGGCTTACGTTCACCAGGGAGCTCCCACCCGCCGCAGCATCCCCGTCCTGCCCGCCCTTCTGTCCCCCCTGCTGCCCCCCCTGCTGCTGCTGCTGCCCGCCTCTCAGCCCCGCGCCATTGCTGCTCTTCCGCGGCTCTCCTCCAACGTGGCTATCGCCCCCCCCTGCTGCTGACGACGCGGCTGCGGAGGAGGCGCGCGGAGTGGGCGCGGACGAGGAGAGCACGGACACGGGGGGGCTCATAGCCTGCTCCGACCCGCTTCCCCCCTTCCCCCCCATGCCCGCCGCTCCCCCCATGCCCACTGCGCTGTCCGCTGCCCCATTCCCCCTCATACACGTCTGCGCCATGGCCGCGTGGGTCTGCGCCATGGGCGCGTGGGTCTGCGCCATGGCCGCGTGGGTCTGCGCCATGGCCGCGTGGGTCTGCGCCATGGGCGCATGGGCCTGCGCCATCGGTGTGTGGGGCTGCGGAATGGGTATGGGTACAGCGTTGGCGGTAGGCATGCGTAAGGGCATGGGCATGGATGAGGAGTGATGTGGTGAAGGTGACATGTGAGCGGATGGGGGATTATGTGGTTGAGGTTGCATGTGCATGGCAGGCGGAACCATGCCAGGCTGGCTCATAAATTGCACCCCTTGCTGCACGTGCTGCGGTGGCGTGAGCATCTGAGGACGAAAATGAGGGAGAAATTGCACGGAAGGCGCGGAAGCAGTATTGGGAGCGGCGGGAAGAGGGGAGGAAGCAGGAGCGGCGGTGGGAGCAGAAGCGGGCGCGGGGGAAGAAAGAGGAGGGCGGAAGGGCGGAGCGGCAGGAGCGTAGCCTGACATGTGTCTTGACGTCTGAATCTGCCCGTGCACTGGCGCCTGCGTCGGCGTCTGCAACCCACCCGCACCAGCAGTACCAGCAGCACCAGAAGCCGCGCCAGCAGGAATAGGAGGAGCGGCAGCAGGAACACGGGCGGCTGGAGGCGGCACAGGGGAAGCGGTGGAAGCAGGGGCGGCGGGGGTAGCGGGGGGCGCAGTGGCGGCGGCGGGCGCAGTGGCGGCGGGGGGCGCAGTGGCCCAGGGCAGGAGCGCGGACATGCGGTGGTGCAGCTGCCCCTTAAGCGCGTCCACCTCCCCCTTCAGCGCGCCCTTCTCCTGCCGCAGCTCCGACTTCTCCGCGGCCAGCTGCGGGGCGCGCGCAAGGATGCGCGGAAGGTTGGGGGAGAGGAGAGGGGGGGAAGGAGGGGGGGGGGGGAGGGTGAGCGAGAACAAGATTGATGGGACACGTGGCGCACGATGACAGGGCGGGGAGCAACACACGGAAGTAATCGCAGGAGCGATTATTCCTGACCGCTCGTCAGGCAAACCTATCCCTGCCACCACCTCCGCCTCGCCTCGCCTCACCTCTTTCGATTCGTCCACGAGCGCGCTGTGCTCGGCGCGCAGTCGGTTCACGTTCGCGCGCAGCTCGCGAAGCATCGTCAGCCCGTCGGTCAGAATCGTCGCCTTGTCATTCTTCGGACGGTCAGGATCTGCAGATGGACGACAGGGAGAGAGAGAGGTTACCTTAGAAGGGCCACTGCAAAAGCCAGTGGGAGGGACGTGAATTGTGGTTTACTGAAGGGAGTAGGACGAGCAGGACGCGTTAAGAGAGAACTATTTCCTTACCGAGGACACTCGCGAGTTCCATAAATTGATCGTTGAGTCGATCCCGCCGCATCTTCTCTCTATCAGCCTTCTGCAACTTCTTAGCCGCCGTGCTCTCATGCTCTCCCCCTTCGCCCCCATCCGCCTCGTCCCCACCTCCCGCGCCCCACTGCGCGCTCCCCCCGCCCGCACCCTCTTCCGCCGACACCATCTCCCCCCCTACTACTCCGTACATCAGCCTAGACCCACCAGCGCTTCCGCCTCCGCCTTCCGCCATACCGCCGTTCCCCAGGGCTACAGTGGCGTCGAAGGGAATCGAACCCGCGACCTCTGGTAGAAGAGGAGGATGAGCGAGATCGCGGCTGTACGACGCTGGTAAAATCACAACCTCCCTCTCCTCGCTCTCGTCTACTGATTTGTCTGGATTCGGTCGAAAATCACCCGCTGCTGCAGCGCGTGCCTTGCGCTTATGTCTGTTTCCCAGCAGTGGGACCCGCCGAGCCGGCTCGACTACTGCGGCGCCGCCCATGTCTCTATTGCTTGCTGATTATAGTACGGAAAATATACGGAAAAGGGTAACACAGTAACAAATACGAATGGGAGCACAGGGTGACGAATCAACTAACTACTTTACTGAATCAAGGACGAAGTAAAACGAGTCAGGCAAGATAAGCAATCTAAGAAAAGGAGAGAGCGAGAATTTAGGGGTGACATGCACGGAGAAGTCAAGCGCGACAACAGAAGCAGCTGAGAGTGGAAGGCGATTTTTGAGATGTCTCGAAAATCCCTATGCACGGAAAAGTCGAGCGCGACATCAGAGCAGCTCTAAGTGGGAAGGTGAGGGGAGCAAGAGGACGCACGTGCATCGCGATGGTTGCTCGCGGGATTGCCGTCGAAAGGACCTTGCCCCACACTGTTGGCGTGCAATCGTGTGCCTATCCGGATGAGAGTTGGCTTCAAGTGCAGTGCTGGCGAGGGCTAGGGAGCGAAGCGGGTGCAAAACATGTGTCCGCGCGCTGCTCGCTGCCTTGATGTTGGTTCATCGGGTCACATCAAACACACTGTGACGAGGAGCAGGTGGAAGTGCACTGGGCGGATAGGGGGAGGCGGATGAGTGGGAGCTGGGTGGGATTGGATGAGCGAATAGCGACTCCGGCCCAGAGGAGCACAGGGCGGGAGCGAGGGACAGGCGGAAGGGCACACTCTGCACACTGTACAGAAAGTCGGCAGGTCCTGATGGTGCGGCTCACGGCGAAGCGGAAAAGAGAGGACAGACCGGAGCTGAGCGTGAGGTGTGCCGTGTGTGGTGGTGGTGAGGCGAGGCGAAGATGAGAGGAATCTGTGGCTGTGCAGGTATGGGATGGGAGGGAGATGTGGCGGGTGAAAGGGTAATTACATTCTGGGTAACCAACATCGAGCCCGCTGACGTCAAAAGTCACCTACGTGGCTCGATGGTACCCGTCAGATCATGCGCACCCCTTGGTGGTACCCATCTTCCCTCCGTGGTACCCATCTTCCCTGCGTGGTACCCATCAACTGTGCGTGAATTCCCTGACTGGTACCGCAACATTTCAACCGAGCTGTACACCGTACAACAAGGGTTTCAATGCGATTTTCACTATATTATACCAACGTTTTCTGTCTGCAATTGAACATTAATACATTTGAACATTAATACCTTTGAACGTGCCTTACACTGGATAGAGTGCAACCTAGAAAAAATCAACTCCCCTTCTAAAATCCTCACGTTACCTCCGAACCTTTGTAAGCTCACATCACTGAGCGATAGGTAGCGTGAATCTTACGACCATGTTTCTCAGCGCGCAGTTGGTAATCTGAACAAAGTTCATAAGGTTGTATGCAAATAAATTGAGCATGTACCCCCACAGCTAAATAGAAAAGCATAAACAAATAATACGTACATTCGTTGGTTTCTGGAAACAAAACAATACCCATTAATGAAAATCAAATAACCTTAAGTCAATATATATTACGTGTCAGTTGATCGTTTGTTACACGGTTGTTAATTTTTTTGTTTCGGTTGATGCAATATATCTGTGGTGATTTAAATTATAGCACGTTATAATGTGGATGTTTATGAGCCTAAAGAAATCTACACAATAAATGTTTTCCTAAATTCAGCTTTTCTTCTACACTTTATTATAGGTAATGCGCTTGAAAATTTGACCCGATTATGTGGCACTTCGGGCTTCGGACTCTATTGAGCTTGTAAACGTTAAGACAATATAGTGAAAAACGCATTGACACCCTTGTTGTACGGTGTACAGCTCGGTTGAAATGTTGCGGTACCAGTCAGGGAATTCGCGCACAGTTGATGGGTACCACGCATGGAAGATGGGTACCACGGAGGGAAGATGGGTACCACCAAGGGGCGCGCATGATCTGACGGGTACCATCGAGCCACGTAGGTGACTTTTGACGTCAGCGGGCTCAATGTTGGTTACCCAGAATGTAATTACCCCGGGTGAAATGTATGGAAGGAGAAAGGTGTGCTGAGTGCGTTGATGCCTCGCCTCCGCCATGTGGTTAGCACAGGTCTTTGCGTGGCTTGGCGATCAGGTCAGCAGGCTAGGGCCTTTCGGCTGGACACGTCAGGTTATTGCGATAGCATTGCGATCACTCGATACGGTTGAAGAAAAACAGTAACCCCCAGTGACCGTCGTTAGGAATCGTGCGTGTTATCTGATTGGTCATTCGTGTTTCGTTGGGTAGCTCGGTTTATGACAGCCCCGTGGCCCACATTATAAGCACGATACACTCAAGCTCAACCTTCCCCAACCAGCGCGCACCACGCGCTTGGAAGAGGGACCTCGGTAGACGTTGTTGGAAGCTCCAGTTACAGAATTGAGAGGTACAATAGAGAGAATTGCTCCAGTGCCTTGTTTGGTGATTCGCTCTTGCCCACGTGTCCCCAAATTGCTCGAGTGGCCATCCAATTCAGTGATAATTGCTCGAGTGGCCACGCCAGGGCATTTTCGAGGTGTTTTTTTTCTCCGTCACATTACCCTACCAGAGTTTGTATCCCCAAAATCCCTCGTTCGCACGAGTTTCATCAAGCGGTAGAGTTTCGTACTATTCCCCACCCGAAAATTTCGGGTGGTTGGCGGGCGCGAACGTGGCCCGACCAACAGTATATGTGCGGCCATTTTTGCCCCAATGCGCGACCAATGAGCGTGCGGGCAAACAAATTCGTAACCAATAAGCGCTCGAGCATATAAATTGCTCGTAACCAATGAGCGCGCGGGCAAATACATCAGCGTTCATAAACTGCAATGCCAGAGCATAAATGCACGAACATATTATTGACCGCGCACGATTGGTCGATAATATGTTTCTTGCCCTTTTTGGCAATGCGCGTCCAATCACACACGGTCATATAATTCACGACCATATATTTAGGCGATAAAGGGTCGCCCAAGAGCCAATATGAGCGCGCATATACTACCATTAGTTCTATCATATTTCCAGTCCATATAAAACTATGTATATCAAATGCCATAAATATATTCTCTGCTATTAATTTAAACCCTTCATAACCTTGGTGGCAGTATATTATGCTGGGCTTAAATTAATATTATGCTGCCGAACATATTATTTCTGCAACCATATTACCGGCAATACAATATTATGGACCACGGTGTCATGGGCTTAAATTAATATTATGGTAGGCAACGATACAATATTATGTCTAGTATGATGGGCTTAAATTAATAGCAGATAATATATTTATGGCATTTGATATATATGGTTTTATATGGACCGGACATATGATAGAAGTAATGGTAATATATGCGCGCTCATATTGGTTTTCGGGCGACCCTTTATCGCCTAAATATATGGTCGTGAATTATATGACCGTGTGTGATTGGACGCGCATTGCCAAAAAGGGCAAGAAGCATATTATCGACCAATCGTGCGCGGTCAATAATATGTTCGTGCATTTATGCTCTGGCGTTGGAGTTTATGATCGCTGATGTAATTGCCCACGCGTTCATTGGTCGCGCATTGGGCCGAAAATGACCGCGCATCTACTATTGTGCGAACGAGGAATTTTGGGGGTACGAACCCTTGTAGGGTTATGTGCCAGGGAAAAAAACACCTCGAAAATGCCCTGGCATGGCCACTCGAAGCAATTATCACTGAATTGGATGGCCACTCGAGCAATTCGGGGACACGTGGGCAAGAGCGAATCACCAAACAAGGCACTGGAGCAATTCTCTCGGTACAATACATTGTTTCTGTTTTCTCGACAGAAACACGACAAAGTGTTATCGTATACGGCAAATTCACGAGCCATATTGTGGTTTCTCGAACTAGTGTGGCTGCCAAACCCAACCAAGCCAACAACAAGGTCAGCTGTCACGTCACAAGAATCCGTTCCCGACTCATTTCATTGGTCGTCGCTGGAAACGCAACCCCATTCCCCCTGACACACAGCAGACCAACTTCAAGCGCTGGTCTGCGAAACGATATGTCACCAGTCAATTCAGCAGAGGCGTCGCCGATATTCGCCGAGACGTTTCGCAGCGCCTGGCAGCGTCGCCACCACCACCATCCTTGGCTTGGGTCTGGCTGGGCTGCTGTGCTTCACCATGATAGCCCCACAGAGCGAGCAGCGAAGCCCATCCAACTGGAGCCTCTCATCCCAGCAACTTTCCTTCAACGGCCAGTAGGAGTTTGCTGCCATTGGCTAACCAACCGGCGGGAAACTCGCGCAATTCGCTGAGCCGCGATTGATAGTTTGACGTTCCCGCTCAGAGATAACGTTCCACCCCACCTGAGCCCTCAATCTGAACCTTCAATCTGTCTCATTTCAAGATCTGACGGTTCTAAACCTCTCTTCTTCCCGCAACCAACGGGCCTCCCTCCCAGCCTTGCCATGTCCTGATTGCCTTCATTTCCAGTTTCAGAGTGGTCTCAGAAATTGCCGAGAAGTTTTTCCTGTTTTTCCGATTTTTTTTTCCTACGTGAATCAGTTTTTATCCAACTAAGGAGGAATCCGCCATCTAGGCGTTGGCTACAGGACACCTTTTTCCGTGAAACTGCTATTGTTTTAGCTAAAAGTAATGGTCCTGTTCGAACAGGTTGGGACAGAGCTTGAACCGATCGTTTTCGCTGGGAATGTTGGCAACGAGTAGCAGCAGCAGCGAGGTTCCACTCACATCACGATCTGCACCCCACTCCTCCCATTCAGCCTCACCCAATCTCTTCCTCCGCATGACATTTCCAATTTCTCATCTCGTTCTTCGGATTTCCAACCTGTTTGACATTTCTCAACTCTTGCTAGCCGGAGGCATTTCTCTTGTTCTTCCCATTCGCCTTTCACTAGAGCATCTCACCACCCCCACTCCCACTAGCTTCAATCAAAGGCTAGATAGAAGTTCAGACGCGTTGAGCTCGCTGCGACACGCCATAGAATCGCGTCGCTAGTTGTCTGCATCTAGCTTCGACATGGCCAGAGCTGCAGGCTAAAACGTTATCGCCTGGGTTTTCATTTGCTGCAAGAGC